AAAAAAAAAAACATTCTTCCAGATTCTCGTGGAACTTGACGCGCTGCCCAGTCTTACTCCGGAAGCGGTAGAACTTCAGCAGCTCATGCATTCAAATGATGTGGAGGTAAACAATGGAATTATTGGGTTCTGCTTCTGATTACCTTGTAACTCCCTCCTGTACTTAATGAATAAGTGTTCTTTCTTACGCTCCCCTCATCAGTTCAATTGGTAGAGATCAACCATTCAATTTTTTACTTCAGGCATGTTTGCAAGCGCATGATATTGTCGCATCGGAAGTGTATGACATGGAGGATGGTGAAGAGTCTTCACAAACTGTCCCAGCCACAATGCAGGTAATTCAAGTAAATCATTACTTCATTTGCTAGGCTAATTCTTAAGATTTACGCTGTTTCAACGTTTTTGTTGATCTTCAATTTGCATTCAATTTGTGAGATGCAGGATTTACCCTAGTACGTGGCTTCTTAGAAAGAATGCGAATTATGCTTTAGTTAGATTGAGTTTGTCCTCAAGCTCGCGTCATTTTCTTCTTTTATAGTATCTGGAGAGTTTTTGTTAGTTAGTGGTTAGTCTGTACAAAACAAATGTATGCGTGTTAAAAAAACTCAATGCGCGCAGTATCATGAAAAGATGAGCTGTACGTATCAGCTTTTTTTTATTGGGAGTTATTATGTTAGTGTTGGTGTGAGTGTCATTTCTATTTCAGCAAGGATTATGTCACTAATTTAATCATGTGGTCTCTTTTAATGTCTCATTCTCTCTCTAGCGTTTTTTTCATCAATTGTAATTTTGCTTTTTAATTTTACTTTCCCGTGGATGTTTTGGTGTTCAGCAGTTGCGCCCTTCAGTATTGGTACATGGTACTGTGTTTTTTGATAAGTGACTGAGCGAGAATTACACTTTTATCTGTAGGTTGAGTTATCTCCTTTTTATACCTAATAGCTTCAAAATTTGCAAGGAAAAAGTTTTTACGTTACCTATCTGATAAATGAACAGCACTTCCTCTAGTGTCTTCGTATTATTATCGTTTTTAACGCCTCTCTTGGTCCTAAATGCTTTACGTTAAGTGTTGGGATTCTCCCACTGCTCACTTCTTACTGCTCTATATTTCTCGTCTATTAGTATCTTGCACTTTTCAAGAATTCGTGTTCTTGTTACTATACTCGAGCACTATCTCTAGATTAAAGAGGACAGTCCGGAAGACGCATCAATGCGCGCACACAAATTTCTTATGTTATCAAGGCGCTAACCCACCCACTTATTAAGAAATATCTTTGAGTTCCGCTGTTATCGTTTAAGTAGAGTATTTGACATCCCGACCACGAACATGTTATCTTTTTCGTACGGTATGCTTTCCAGTTACAATGGGTGTACGATAGAAAGTCGAAACTACGGATCTGCTTGAAAAGTTTTCTAATGAGATTATTTGATTGCTGATAATGAATGTCGCATTTGTAGAGTAGGTAGGTAGATGGCAGTGGATCAGCGCAAAGGATTTGACTATGATGGTTAAAAAGAGCTGATCACATGAAGTGTATAGCTTCATTTCAATATATAACTATAGATATATAACTTTCGATATATAACCATAACTAGCGTAACAAACAACCCTGATAGGTAAACTATATGCATCTACAAACAACCGACATGTCACAGTTGCGCCCTGTTGGCACCACGATAAATCTTAACTGGAGAAGGGCATTG